CCCCAGAGGATTTCCAGGGCCGTGGAACAGGCCGCCCCGTGGCTCATCCTGGCAGGCTCGGGGGGCATCGCCGACGTGCTCGCGGCCCTGGTGAACCAGCCCCACCTCCTGGTGCCCCAGGTGGCCGAGAAGCAGTTCAGGGAGAAGTTCCCCGGCGAGCACTTCTCCTGGGAGGACATCGTGCATTGGACCAAGCTGGTACGCGCCCCCACCCCAGAGATTCAGGGTGGGATACTGCCCTGGCCCCTCGGGGCCCCACCCCTCCTCCTGGGGTCTGAGGGTCCTTGGGGGAGCTCCCGCTCCTCCCATCCGGGCCGCAGGGTCCAATGGGCAATGGGCACACAGGCTGCAGGCGGGCACTCCTCTGGGCTCTCATCTGTGCTGCTGCGGCCCGCCCCTCTGCCCGGGCCCCGCCTCCCCTCCTCAGGGCCTCTGTTCTGGCACCCAGCTGCAGGACATCACCTCGCACCCGCACCTGCTCACTGTGTATGACTTCGAGCAGGAGGGCTCGGAGGAGCTGGACACCGTCATCCTCAAGGCGCTGGTAAAAGGTGAGGCTGGCGGGGCGGGCACCTGGGGGCTGCCAGCCTGGCTAGGGGTCATGGCCGGCGCCTGCCCGACCCTCCCAGGGACACGCACATTCACGATTTCCGCACTCGGAGGACTTGGTGGTCAAACTCCCCAAACACGGAATACACGGATTTATCTTGACCATGATTTTAAAAAAGATTGGGAGTGCTCAGTTAGAAGGGCCTTGGTAGAGTTACCAGGGGGGAAAGCATCACTGCTCCCCATTCCCGAATATCCTCATCACCCCTTAAGCGTGCCCCCTGGCACCCACTCCCTGCCCCTTCCCCGGACCCTGGCAACCTCCGCTTACTTCCTGTCGTTATGGGCCTCCCTGTTGGGGCATTTCGTATAAATGGGATCGCAGGCACACATGGCCTCTGGGGTCTAGATCCTTCACGCCACACAGGGACTTTGAGGTGCATTTCCATGGTGGCGCCAGTCGGTCCTGCCTTCCTTTTGAAGGCCGCGCACTATTCCGTCTTGCGGCTAGACCACAGCTCACCCACCCCTTCATCGGCTGGCGGACACTTGAGCAGTACGATGGTGCTTTTTGTGGGAGACGGGCACATGCCTGGGGCCAGACCCCTGGCAGCCAGACACAGGCCGCCACAGGGAGGAGCCGTGCCTGCTGAGGGCCGGGACACACTTGAGTGCTGCGCCCCCCAAGGGGGTGTCTGGGCTGCGGGCGGTTCTGGATCTGGGACCCCCAGGACGATGAGGTTGAGGGAGGCCCCTGCACGGGGACCCCACGAGACAGGCCAGCAAGCCTCACTCGTGGGTCTGGGGAGGACGGCAGACTCGGTGTCTGCCCCTGGCCCAGGCCCTGCAGGCCTCAACCTCACCCCAGGGAGGACAAGGCAGCCAACGGGCCTCCCCCGCACCATCCGTGGGGAGCTGGTCGTGGACCTTCCGTGCTGGGGCGTGGCTGAAGGTCCTGGTGTCAGCTGGGGTCCCTTTGTCACCACCGAGGGAGTGCCCCACGCGGGAGAACGGCCATCCTGTTCCCTCTTCTGTCAGCCTACCTCACCTCGCAGGGACCAGGGCACTCCTGCCAGGGCTCCTGGGGTTCGCACCAAGTCGGGAGTCTCCGGGGGTCCCAAGGGCCCAGGCATGTCCCCTCAAATTCCAGCACCAAGTTCCAGCTTCCCAGTCTCTAGATGGCCCCGGTGGGGACCCCGTGTGCAGCTGTGGGCCCCTTGGTTCCATCCACACCAGCCCCGGCCCCCCTGCCCACAGCCTGCAAGAGCCATAGCCAGGAGGCCCAGGACTACCTGGACGAGCTCAAGTTGGCCGTGGCCTGGGACCGCGTGGACATCGCCAAGAGCGAGATCTTCAGCGGGGACGTGGAGTGGAAGGTGCTTTCCCCTCCTGCGGCCTGGATTGTGGCCAATGCAGGGCACTGAGGCTGGTGGTGTTCTGGGGGAGATGGTGCCCTGGGGAGTGCAGTGTCTTGGGTGGGTGGCTGGGCCCCTTCTGCCTGGCTGTGCTGGTGGAGGCTGGACGGGGCCCCAGGCCCTCCGAGTTTCCGCCTTGCTAACGGGCCTGGGCAGGGTGGGCTGGATTACTGCTGGCTGGAGTTGCCCCAAAGCCCGTGGGGTGGTGACACCCTCAGCAGCCCTCCCAGACCCTCCCATGCCCGCCCCGACTCAGGGGCCCAGGCTGGGGTCCCGGGGAGTCTGTGCGGCCTGGCCAAAGGGTCCCACACTCCTCCTCCCACCTCCCTCCCTGCGCATGCCGTGGCTGCCAGTCCCGCGACCTGGAGGAAGTGATGGTGGACGCCCTGGTCAGCAACAAGCCCGAGTTCGTGCGCCTCTTCGTGGACAACGGGGCGGACATGGCTGACTTCCTGACATACGGACGGCTACAGCAGCTGTACCATGCCGTGTCCCCCAAAAGCTTGCTATTCACCCTCCTCCAGCGCAAACATGAGGAGGCCCGGCTGACGCTGGCCGGCCTGGGCGCCCAGCAGCCCCGCGAGCCACCCACCGGGCCCGCCTTCTCCCTGCACGAAGTGTCCCGCGTGCTCAAGGACTTCCTGCAGGACGCCTGCCGCGGCCTCTACCAGGACGGCCGGCCAGGGGCCCGGGGGAAGGCGGTGAGCAGGGAGGCCAGTGGGGGGCCGGGCTGGGTCTGGGGCTGGAGGCCGACGCCCCCGTGTCCTCCAGGAGAGGGGCCCGGCCAAGCGGCCCGCGGGCCAGAAGTGGCTGCCAGATCTCACCCAGAGGAGCGAGAACCCCTGGCGGGACCTGTTCCTGTGGGCGGTGCTGCAGAACCGCCACGAGATGGCCACGTACTTCTGGGCCATGGTGAGCAGCGGCCACAGCCCCGGCCACGGCGGGGGGAGGAGGGACGGGCGGCCTCCTGAGCCCCGTCTCCTAGGGCCAGGAGGGTGTGGCGGCCGCTTTGGCCGCCTGCAAAATCCTCAAAGAGATGTCCCACCTGGAGACGGAGGCCGAGGCGGCCCAGGCCATGCACGAGGCCAAGTACGAGCAGCTGGCCCTCGGTGAGTGGCCGTCGGGGTGGTGGGGAGGCCACGAAGCAGGTGGACAGAGGGCCCGGGCTTCCCGCCTCTGCGTGGGCCCAGGTGACCTCAGCGGCCTCCCCTGTGGAAGAGGCTGGACGGCTCCTCTGGGATGCAGGGAGCCCCAGATCCTGAGCGGGAGGGATGCCGGGCACAGGGTGAAGAAGACACGGCCTCCCGCCCTGGGACACTGCACACCGGGCCCTGGCGTGGGGTGGGGACATTCTGGGTGACGGAGGCCCCAGCAGCCCCGAGGGGGAGGGAAAGGACCCAGGTTGGGCCGGCCAGGGAGGAGGCGCAGGCTCGGCCGGCCTCCGAGCCCCAGCGCCGGCCCCCACAGACCTCTTCTCCGAGTGCTACAGCAACAGCGAGGACCGGGCCTTCGCGCTGCTGGTGCGCCGCAACCGTAGCTGGAGCAGGACCACGTGCCTGCACCTGGCCGCCGAGGCCGACACCAAGGCCTTCTTTGCCCATGACGGCGTGCAGGTGGGCGGCCGCCGGCCTGGGGGCACTGCCGAGGAGAGGGCAGTGGGGGCTGCCTGGCCTCTTCCTCCAGGAAGCTGCTTCCCGCCTCCAGTCTCCACGTGACCCTCCCAACCCCCAGGGAGGGTGGCGGCAGCCCCAAGCGCCACACCCAGCAACTGGCTTCTTGTGCTTGCCGGGAGGGAGGCTGGGAGGGAGGGAGCCTCTCCTGCTCCCCTTGGAGGGTGGGCGTTCCTGGGGCAGGGCTGCGGGCTAAGGCGTGGAGGTGAGAAGCCAGCCGGTGCGCCTTCCCTGCAGGCCTTCCTGACCAAGATCTGGTGGGGGGACATGGGCACGGGCACGCCCATCTTGCGCCTGCTGGGGGCCTTCCTCTGCCCAGCCCTCATCTACACCAACCTCATCACCTTCAGGTGGGCCGGGGGCATGGGCTGCCCACTTGCCGGAGCCGCTGGGAGGGCCCTGGGCTTGGCTGGCAGCAGCGTGACTCGGTGTCCCCCCGAGTCCAGCATCCCTGCGGGCCCGCCTCCCGCCGGCACGCTGGCCTCCGTCCTTCTCCCTGGGCCCAGCACTCCTTGCTGGCCAAATGCCTGGGGCCGGTGGGCGCCTCTGGCGCAGCTCCTGAGGGCCTTGGGCTCCCATGTCCACAGGGAGGAGGCCCCGCTGAGGACGGGCCCCGAGGACCTGGAGGGGCTGGACAGCCTGGACACGGAGACGAGCCTGCTGTGTAGGCCGGGCAGCCGGTACGGGGCCGGGCAGCAGGGGGCAGCGGGTGGGGCCGGGAAGCTGACCTCTGGCGGGGCGCCCGGCCGGTGCAGCCTCACACTGTGGCCTCCTTTGCGGCGCAGAATGGAGGAGTTGGCGGAGGCGCCGAGGACTCCCGGTGGTCGAGGCCCGCGCGCGGCCTTCCTGCTCACACGCTGGCGGAGGTTCTGGGGCGCCCCCGTGACCGTGTTCCTGGGGAATGTGGTCATGTACTTTGCCTTCCTCTTCCTGTTCACCTACGTCCTGCTGGTGGACTTCAGGCCGCCTCCCCAGGGCCCGTCGGGGCCCGAGGTCACCCTCTACTTCTGGGTCTTCACGCTGGTGCTGGAGGAAATCCGGCAGGTGGGTGTTCGCGGGCCTGGGTGCCTCCACCCACGGCTGCAGGCTGTGTGGCCTCGGCGGGTCCAGCCCTCGCAGGGCTGTGGCTCCTCAATGGCAGAACAAGGGCAGCGTGGGCCTCCGGTCTCCCCAGTGGCCAGGGCCTCGATCCTAGTTACAGACTGAGCCCTGACCACAGACTGAGCCCTCACTTTGACCACAGACTGAGCCCTGACCCTGACCACAGACTGAGCCCTGACCCTGACCACAGACTGAGCCCTGATCCTGACCACAGACTGAGCCCTGGGTTCCACTCCACACTGAGTCCTGACCCTGACCACAGACAGCCCTGACCCTGACCACAGACTGAACCCTGACCCTGACCACAGACTGAGCCCTGACCCTGATCACAGACTGAGCCCTGATCCTGACCACAGACTGAGCCCTGACCCTGATCACAGACTGAGCCCTGACCCTGACCACAGACAGCCCTGACCCTGACCACAGACTGGACCCTGACCCTAATCACAGACTGAGCCCTGGGTCCCACCCCACACTGAGCCCTGGTTCCCACTCCAGACTGAGCAGTCTGAACCCCAACCTGTCTCACAGACCAGGTTCAGACACCGAATATAAACTGATCCCAGATGCTGGTCACAGACAGCCCAGATCCCAAGTCCAGAGCCCTGATCCTGTCCCCAGACTTGGCCCCACAACACCTGCAATTGGCTCCCGTCCTCCTCAGAGACTGAGTCCTGGTCACAGGAGAACCCTGAGCCCCATGGCAGACTGAGCCCGGATCCTTACAGATCCCAGCCTGGTGTGGGCGGGGCTGTCCCAGTGGGGTGAGCAGGGGCAGCTGCCAGCAGACTTTCTGCTCCTGCCAGGGCTTCTTCAGGGACGAGGACATGCACCTGATGAAGAAATTCACACTGTACGTGGACGACAACTGGAACAAGTGTGACATGGTGGCCATCTTCCTGTTCATCGTTGGGGTCATCTGCAGGTCTGTGGGATCTGAGGCCTTGTAGCCTCAGGTGGGCTTGTGGGCAGGCTTCCAGGTGAAGCCACTCAGGTCAGGCGTGGTGGCGAGAGCCTGTTGTCCCAGTGACTTGGGAGGCTGTGACGGGAGGATCACGAGCTTGGGGGTTTGAGAGCACCTGTCACTAAAGTAAAACAAAATCAAACAAGCCACTCAGGGCCTCCGAAGTCCCGGCTTGGCCCTGGTGCTGCCGTTGGGCTGGTGTGCTGTGTGTTCGCGGGGGAGCCCCTCGCCCTCTCCGGTTCCGGCAGCCCCTGTCGTCTCCAGGATGGTGCCCTCGGCATTCGAGGCCGGCCGCACGGTGCTGGCCATTGACTTCATGGTGTTCACACTCCGGCTCATCCACATCTTTGCCATCCACAAGCAGCTGGGCCCCAAGATCATCATCGTGGAGCGGATGGTGGGCCCCCGGCCCGGGGGAGGGCCAGCCTCTCTGCTGGGCCCACCTGCGTGGTGGCTGACACCCTTCTCCCCGCCCGCCGGCACAGATGAAGGACGTCTTCTTCTTCCTCTTCTTCCTGAGCGTGTGGCTGGTGGCCTACGGCGTGACCACGCAGGCGCTGCTGCACCCCCACGACCGCCGCCCGGAGTGGATCTTCCGCCGTGTGCTGTATCGACCTTACCTGCAGATTTTCGGCCAGATCCCGCTGGATGAGATCGACGGTGCGCAGCGCCTGGGGGTGGGGGGTAGCGGGGCTCACGACCCGGCCTGCGGTGGGCAGGCTAGTGCTCACAAGCCCCCGTTCGCGGCTCTCCAGGGGGTCCTGCGGGGGTCGCAGGAGGGAGTTCCAAGCCCAGAGCTGGCCCTGAGGCCAGCACCGCCCC